CAATCCTTTATCCAGGGTGAACTCTGTCATATATCTTGGTGTAACCATAGATAGCAATCTTCATTGGTCAACCCACATCCACAACTGCGTTGGGAAACTGCGACGCCTTTCATTTCAAATACGAAAGCTCGGGCAGTTTTGCGCATCCCAGTCAGTTATTCCTACTTTAGTTTATCAATGTGTTTTCCCCATCTTACTCTATTGCTCTCCGGTTATTTTTCCTGGTTTATCCAAACAGGGTTTCAAAGTCTTACGTCGCGGTCTGACCATTATTAATCGTGTCTCTTCTATTCCTGTGAATGAATTAGTAGTAAAGCTTTCAGGATATCACGTAACTTCCTGTGTGAAATTTGTTGAGAGGATTCTCACAGATCCTGACCACCCATTGCATGCAGAACTGACAGTTTGTCGTTCCCATCATTCAACACGCTCCCAATTCCGCCAAATTTAATCTCGAATTAACGCATACCGTAATTCACCCATACCGTATCTTGCTCATTTACTCATACACAAAGAGCGGACAATAAGTGAACTTCGTCTTAATTTAGGATTATGGAATTTCCCCTTGCCTGTAAAAACTTTTCTCCCTGTTGATCATGTACATTGTGACGGTCAAGGTGTATGATTTTTTAACTGAAATGTGAGCCCCAGTGCTTGCAAAAGTTATACTTAATACAACACAATACAATATCAATAAATTTCTGCCAAGCGACCAACGGATTTGGTTCTTCGTCATAGGAAACTCACTGAGTGGAGACTGTAAAGGTTTTCAACAGTATATATTCTATGGATCTGCACATGCTACCTGGGGAACAGAAGCGTAACAAACATTTGAATGTAAGCACTGCGTGATCGCTGCGTTCTAGGGAGGAAGTCACATTGACGGATTCTACCATCAGCTCCTCGTTAATCAACACTAAATCCAGTGTGGATGGTGATCGTAGGTTTCCAAACCTGGTGGGTTCCTTCACATGATCGTACAACGGACGTGACTGGATGAACTGCATGAATTGTAGTTCAAACGGCGTACATGAGGTCGTCATATTGCGCAGCTTTGGGCAGTTGAAGTCAACCATAATTATAACGTGGGTGAAATTCAATGACAAGAAATAAGACATTGTTTGCATTATTTGATGAATCTGCTGAAGAAGGAGGACGATTAACTACACCGATCAGCCCGATATCATGCTGCGTTAGCTTCATTTTACACCATAACATATCTGAAGCAGCGACCGGACACTCAATTGGCTCGTATTGCAAGCTATCATGATAATAGAGCAACACGCCCCCACCTCGCGTTGGACGAACACGCCTTTATACCTCCATACCTGGTAATCGCAGCTCGGAGTCTAAAGTGTCGGTCGTCAACCAGGTTTCGGCAATGAGATCTCATCGACCGGTCCGAAAGCGTTGTTCCACTTCTGGAAACTCATTAAGAAAACCCTGAGAGTTGGTACAGAAACAGTTCAGTCGCTGTCAGTGCAGAAGTCCCTAGGAGTTTAGAGGCGTCATTTGGCTGACCTCCTTCTCGTCGGCCGACAGACGATTTTGGCTGTAGGTATTCGTTGGATTTGGTCTGATGAGGTCGGAGTGGAACATGAAGTTTGTAGTGTTTCACGCGCAATGTGATTGACAGTTTCGACAGGTGGACAATTTTTCGGTCCTGAATTACGCATCGGTCTTACGCGTAATTCTTTGGGCCCTCTAGTTCTGTGTTCATACCATGACTGGAGAACTGTTCTTATCATTTCTGGTGTCCCAAGAGTTACCTTCAGTATTTGTGGGCAATCTCCACGGTAGTTGGGAGAACGCGGAAAGCATTTAATGACCACGGTAGAAACAACAATTCTTGAATGAACCGCCATTCGTTCAAATCATTTTTTCGACAGTTGGATTCATCGGATTCCGGGAGCTGTGGCACTCCGTGTATGAGAATCGCTCGCGAGTTGTCTGCATCGCGTGCTCTGTTAGGATCATTCCGTCGGTGTACATGCTCGGCTCACATTTTCGTCCCTGGCCAGCGTCACACGAAGTAACCTGGGTTCTCCGATGTGCAGTTATGTCGGTTGGCACCAGAGACGTGTGAGGCACACCGGTTTGGCTTCTACACCCATTCGGGCACATACCTCTGTCCAGCGACTCAGCTCGTCCTGTTGCCTCTCTCTCAATGATTGACTTGTGGGCTCTGGAAGCTTTGTACAAATTACCTTGAGTGCAGTGTTGCCACTTCTCTCTTGTTCATTTGTGACAGTGTAGCAGCTTGCGACTAATGTTCAGGTCGCGGTACCTTGACTACAGGCACCGAAACTTCGACCGTTGGTTTCCTCGTGGCTACTGGAGAGGAAGTGATGCGCGTTACTTCTTGATTTGTTTTATAAAAACACATCTTGAACGTTTTGACAGCCTTGGGTTTGGGCTTTCGGGAGTAATCCGGTAACTGAGGATCTTTATCTTCTCTTCGAGAGAAGCAATTCGTACTTTCGCCCTGTCTTCGGCGGCTGCTAATAGGTTTTTTAATCTATCTGATGTCTGTTATGCATTTGATAATGAGCAGTTGGAGCATTCGATGCAGAACCAGAAATAGTCTGTGAGACTTAGTTTTACCCCTTTTGCCGATTAGCACACGAGGGATGAAAATATCGTATACAGTTTACGCATGAGATTCC